GAGGGAAAAGGCTGCGGTCACCGGAGGGTAAGACCAAGTTGTATAAGCTGGCCAATGAGGTTGACCTTGAGTATTATATATTATTAATTTAATATTATTATTGCGTGTAAGAACGTAAGGCGACTTAAAAGTCTGAGATGCAAACCCATTAATTAATTAATTAATTAATATGTTTTTCTAAGCCAATAAATAAGCTCCGTAATGAAACGGAAATGGAGAAAAAGAAAAGAAAGCCAGAGAGCAGAGGAGAAAATTAGGTCACAGTGCGTGGCCCCTTACGACCTGTGTAACGTACGAAACTTCAAAGCACGGCGGCCGGAATCAACCCTCCAACCAAAAAACAAAAAACAAAAAAACGAAGACCCAATTGCAGACAAATAGATATTTATATGAAAAGTCTACCAAGGCACGAGCAGCAGCAGCATCATCAAATTCAAATTATCAGCAGGAAGCAAGTAGGCACAGGGAGTACTCTAATCTCGCTTAAGGAGTATTAGGTAAGGCTCTCAGACCGAGTTTCCCGCCTTCCACTTCTCTCTGCTTTCATAATATATAATATATATCAGTAATTAATCTAGTTTAACTTACCATAATAATAGCCGGCTAGAGGGTCATCTCCTCGATCAGCTACCTACTTACAGAATTTAATTCGGAATTTATTAATTCATATTCCATAATAATGCAGCTAGCTAGCGTTGAAGTTGAATTCTTCAAGCCCAGCCCGGCCCGGCCCTTAATTTGCTCCTGCAGAACTATCTCTTTTTATAATAATAAAGAAAAAAGAAAATTATTTTCTCAACGCCCTGTCCCATGCAAATTGGGATTGATGATGAAGCGTTGACATATTTATGATTTATTTTCTCTGTCCGTTTTTCCCGTTTTTTACTATTATATACATTCGGCGACTTCCTTTTCTTTTCTTTTCCCTTCCCTTACCTTCTACTTGTTTTCAATTTTCAAATATATATATTCTTTCTTTGGGTTGTGCATTTAAGGACGAGTCAAATACTACTGCATGCGTACAGCAGCTTAATATCTTCAAATCGTGCTAATAAGCTTATGTGTGTGTACATAAAAGGGGAAAAGAACGGCAGGATTATTAGATCATATGTTACCACCAGACAGAGCTTACCAAGAAAAGCATATATTGTTTGACTAATAAGAAAGAAGAAAAAGAGAGAGACGAGAAACAACGACAGATATCGATCATATCTATGGAGGAGGCTCCATTGAAGACAAGATTTCCCTCTTCTTCTTCTGCTGCTGCTCCTGATGATGATGAGATGGTGAAACAAGAAGAAGAAGATCGAACCCGCGATCCATCACCTGATGATGATGCTTCTGCATCTCCTTCTCATCCTCCACAGGTAGTAAACTAGCTACTATGTTTTGTCAGGGATTTTCATGCATGGATCTCTCCTCCTTCTTTGTTTTCCCTTGGATTGATTGAATCTCATGTATGTATTAATTGGAAGAAGAAGAAGAAGAAGAAGGAAAAATCTAGCTAGATTGGACGGTCCACAGTGTGTTTATGGATTGACCATCTTTTCTCCTCCCAACTGTTTCCAACTCTCTTCTTCTTCTTCTAGAAAATTAAATTCCAGCCTCTAATTACTCTGGCCATCTCCTTGACTAACTTTTCCTGACCGTTTCTTCTCCCCCCTAATAAGACATTGCTACAGACTGATTGATTGGCGGTTCCTTCGCTTCTCTTCATTACCCTTATTATAAACTAGTTAAGCTTAATTATATATTGCTAGCAGATCTACATCTTCATTCTTCACTCTGATCAGTCTCCCCTTGTCTCATCAAGTCTTCCTTGTTGCTGTTTGTTCAGATCTAGCTATCTAGCTAGCTCTCTATTGATCCTCTTTCTTTCTTTCTCTCCATTTGATAATTGTAGTGAGAAAGGATCTTGAACTTCCTCTACTGAAATTTTCCTGTTATTAATAGTGTGTTGCTGTGAGAAACATAATTGTTGAGAGTCTATTTGTTATTTCGTATTATTCGGATATTGTCGGATAGGTGAATTATGGGGGTTTATTCGGTTAGGTTAATTATTCGGGTAGTAAACAGTAATTAGTCAGGTTATATATATATGATGTTATGTTAGGTCAAGGGAGGCAATAATACAGAATTGTTCCCAACTCTCTCTCTCTCTCAACTCACCCTAGCCGAACCTCCCTCCTCTCCCTCTCACCTCGGCGGCTCCCATCCCGGGAACCGATTCTGTTCTCTCTCTCATCCCAAATTTCCCCTTCTTCCTCACCTAAATCCCTAATCCCTAGTTCGTTTAATCCCTAATTCGCACGCCTAGATCCGTGGTTCTCACAATTGGTATCAGAGCCTGGCTGGCGTGCTGATTACTGAGCTGCAGGAATTGAGATGTCAAACATGGACAACCCGCAACAACCGAGGCAAGGCCAGGAGATCGTGACCGTGAAGGACATCACGAATAACAAGTACGACGCTGTTGTGACGACATTGGAGAGCTTGACGGCGTCGACAGAGCGAGCTGCTGCTGCTTCCCGGAATTCGACCGAGGCCATAGAGGCGCTGGGGGAGCGAATTACTTCCTCGATTGAGGAGATGGGCACGGCCATGACTGAGAAGCTGTGCAAGGCTTTGGCGGACACCATGACTCAGGTTTTGATCGGTGTGTTTCAGGGCAAGGAGCCAAACCCGGGAAGCCGACCTGAGGCTGTGGAGAAGATGGCGGCGGCGGTATCAGCGGCCGCCGAAAAGAAGGAGACCGCCCCGCCAGGAGCGGCGGCGGGCGCGGGAGGCGGCGCGGCTGGTGGCGCGGGTAGCGCCGCGGAAGGGGAGGCGGGCGGCGCGCTGGCCGCGGCGGCGGCGGCTAAGCCGCCAGGCGCTCTCGGCGGCAGGGAGGCCGCGGCGCCGAGCGAGGTGGCTGGCGGTGGGGGCTCAAGGGCGGCGCGGCCGCCAGGCCCAGGGGGCCGGGGAGGCGGCTATCCCGGCGGGCCCAGACCAGCAGGAGGAGCGGGCCGGGGATCGGGATCCGCACCAGTCTTCAGTGGGCCAGGTCTGCTTCCGGCTCCGACGGCCCAAGACATTGCGGAGGCCCGCAGGCAGAAGAAGGTGGTGGAGTTCGAGGAATTGGGCCGGACTATGAGGAGATGAGCTTCGCGGATCAGGAGGAGTGGGAGATGGGCCCAGGGCACAATGGGCCCGACCAGAATCCGATGACTGAGCCCATGCTGGACCAAACAGGTCGACCGGTTGGGTTGTTAGCCGGCCGAACCAGCTATGGTCGGACCGGGATCGGTCGGACCGAGTCGGGCGGGGTCGAACCCGGCCGGACCGGGTCGAACCGAGTGGAACCGGGGCGCGGGCCGGTGGGCAGCAGCAGGTACGGGCCAGGAGGAGGGCCCAGGCGCGACAGACAGGGTCCCGAGGCTGGTTATCCGCCAAGGGGCACTCCACGGGCCGAGGGGGCACGACCGGGACGCCGGTTGGAGGAGGGTCAAGGATCCGGAGCGAAGGCTGGGGGAGGAGAGGTGTACCAGCATGAGATGGCTGACTGGGCCTACTCAGAGATGCCGAACGCGGGGCCAGAGTATCGACATCAGGGGTCGGGCCACTCGATGCAGCCAACCGGCGATAACAGGTACGGGTACAGCAACCCTCTGTATGACTATGAGGATGAACTGGTGTTTAGGGCTAAACCGCCAGTTATTGAGTTTCCGAAGTTTGATGGCACTGGCGATGTGGGGCTATGGTTATATGCGGCTGAGAGGTGGTTTAGGAATCATCCGATCAGGGAGGAAAGGAAGGCGCATCTGGCGTCCTTCTACTTGGAGGGGGATGCCCTCCAGTGGTGGGAGTGGACTGAGCGGGCGTATGCAGCAGCGGGTGAGAGGATTTCGTGGGCTCGGTTTCAGGATGAGCTCCGGTATCAGTTCGGAAGGGCAGAAGGCTGGGCCCCGGAGCAACTGGCCAAGCTTAAACAGACCGGGTCAGTAGCGGAGTATAGAGCGGAGTTCTTGAAGCTGGGAAACCAATGCAAGGAGATGACCGAAGAAACTCTGGTGGGGCTGTGCATGGCGGGCCTGAGGCCCGAGCTGGCCACGGCGGTCAAGGTCTTTGAGCCGGACTCTCTCCGGGTGGCTTTTAGAATTGCAGGGCGGAAGGAAGAGGAGCTGGCAAGCTGGAGGTCCTCTGTGGGCAGGATACAGAAGGCCAGTGGTGGAGTAGGTGGCGGAGCCGGTACCGGGGCGGGAGCACCGGCGGCGGCAGCAAGTCCTCCGGCGACCGGAACCACTGCCGGGCCGCGATTCCCAGCCAGAGCACCACCGCGAGGGTTCGTGAGGCTGACTCAGGCGGAGATGGACCAGAAACGCCGGGATGGGCGTTGTTTCAACTGCGATGAGAGGTATACTGTGGGCCACCAGTGCGCCAAGAGTCACTTGATGCTGCTAGTCGGGAATTGGGAGGATGAAGGCGAAGAAATGGAGAAGGGCGTCGAAGGAGAAGACAAGAAAGAAGAGGACACGACCCATGGTCCACCTTGAGGGCAAGGTGGGTTTCAAGGGGGATGGATTGTGAGAAACATAATTGTTGAGAGTCTATTTGTTATTTCGTATTATTCGGATATTGTCGGATAGGTGAATTATGGGGGTTTATTCGGTTAGGTTAATTATTCGGGTAGTAAACAGTAATTAGTCAGGTTATATATATATGATGTTATGTTAGGTCAAGGGAGGCAATAATACAGAATTGTTCCCAACTCTCTCTCTCTCTCTCAACTCATCCTAGCCGAACCTCCCTCCTCTCCCTCTCACCTCGGCGGCTCCCATCCCGGGAACCGATTCTGTTCTCTCTCTCATCCCAAATTTCCCCTTCTTCCTCACCTAAATCCCTAATCCCTAGTTCGTTTAATCCCTAATTCGCACGCCTAGATCCGTGGTTCTCACAGTTGCAGTTGTGAAATTCCCTTTTGAGTCACCTGTTTAACTTAATTTGTCTGTTATTTTCCTTTCATGCAGGGAGCCTGTGGCAGCAATAAGGAGAGATCCAGTAGTAGCGCCATGGATGCAGCAGCAGCAGCAGATTCTTCAAAACCATCTATTAAGAAACAGGTAAACTATACACAAATACAATATCATCACACACCATTTGTTTTTAATTTGGGCAGCAGCTTCCTTTCTGCAATACCAAGACTTCCCATTTTTTTTTTTTTATTAATCCCGATTTAGAGGGCCAGAAGGTCAACCTTACACATGTCATTAACTTCGGCCAACATTTGTTTAATTAAGCTCCTAAATATTATTAAATACCAACTTGTGCTTATGGTTTTTGGGTACACTAAGGTACGTACATGTTTATTCTTGATTATTATATATATTTTTGTGTGTTTTTCAGAAAGAAGCAGAACTAAAGGCAACAAGAGCCGAAATGGCAGAAGTGATGGAAGAGAACCGAAGGCTGAAGCTCTACTTGGAACAGATAATGAAGGAGTACAGATCGCTCCAGACGAGATTCCACGAGATCATGAATAATAATCAACAGGACCATGATCCTCATCAACAGCAGCAGCAGTCCAAGAAGTCAGCAGATTCCGTGGACAATGAATCAGATCATGATGCCAAGGGTGACAACGAAGACGACGACGACGAGCACGACCTCGTCTCCCTCAGCCTGGGAAGATCTCCGAGCCGCGAGCTGAAAAGGACCAGCAGTGCCAACGTGGACGTCGTCAAGCTGGAGTCGTGCCTCTCTCTCACGCTGGACTACTGCAGGTTCCAAGGGTCCGGTAGTGGTGATTGTGACCGTCAGATGGCGCCGCAGCCAAAGCCTGGGATGGGATCGAGCGGCTTTGAGGGTCGTCAGGGGAAGGAAGAATTGGGTGCAGCTGGCGGCCGCGGAGAGGCGGCTCGTGATTGCTCGCCTGCGAAAGCTGGCGATGGTGCTAATAATAATAAGACGGCGAGGAATGGAGATGAAGAACAGCATCAGAATCCGGCTAAGAAGGCTCGAGTGTCCGTCAGAGCTAGATGCGATACCCCTACGGTTAGTTTATGATGATGCATTTCTGATATCTGTCTGCTAATTCCTCCTTAATTTGGTGCATGCATTTGGTTTAATTAGTAAATTAAAATTATGTCTGCTGATCATCTAGCTAGTTGGGTAAGAAAGGAATGCATCTAGGGCTCAATGGCAATTTGGGTTATTAAATGATTTAATATAATATTTTTCATAATAGGTCAACATGTACTGCTTCATTTTTTTTTATCCCAGTTGTTATAGGTAGGATTTTTTTAATGAGAAAGAATACGGAATTGCAAAACCTAGTCTTATCATATTTGAGATGAATTACGCGGTGCTAATTTGATCATATCAGAGGTTGGTATGACTCGTATCCAGGGATGAAAACTGATTTGGTTGGGGAAGAATAATGTGTATTCATTACGCTATTGAAAGTAGTTTGGATTTTACCTATACCTATACTCGTTCACACATAAGAATCAGGGTAAATTGCAAGTTTGGTCACTGGAATTACTAAAAAATTTCACGTTTGCCACTAAAATTAGTTTATTTCATTCATGGTCACTAAAATTAGTTCAGCCGTTCAAGTTTGGTCACTCTCCGTTAACTTTTGCTGATGTGGCAGTCAACTCTGACAGTTGACCGTTAAATATGTGACGTGGAAAGTAAAAAAATATAAAAAAATAAAATTTATTATTCTAACAATTTCCACCTCATTATCATAATAAATTAAAAAAATAAAACATAAAAATTATAATTCAAGGAAAGAGGGTTACTGTTGACGATTCTGGGGAAAACGCCTATGAATTCAGGCGGCTGAGGCGGGTTGCAGTTAGATCCAGCGTTGTCGTGGGCGGCGTCGGTCATGCTCAGGGGATCTAACACACAGGCGAGATCTTCTCCTGAATGGAAATTTTAAGGGTTTCACAAGGATGATCGCCCGAGACGCCGTTTATGGCTTCCGGCGGTGGCCCTTGGCTTTTCAGCGAGCGTCGGATGAATACCGGTGAGTCAAGTTTCAATTTCTTCGCCGGAGTCTGTCCGTACGACTTCGATCCTGTGCTATCTCCCTCGCCCAAGACCATGGGCCTATCTTCTCCGGGAGCGGCCTCGCAACACATATGAATCAATCGATCACAACCAAAGGAAGAAAATAGAGAAAATGTCGCATTATGGAGTACCCACCCTTCTCCGTAGTTATATAACTGGATAGACATTTTGCTGAAAGCTTTGCGTACAGGATCTTCTTCCCCATGATCCATGCTGTCGTCGACGTCGAACCCATCTTCTCCAGCTCTTCCTCGGCAATATCCATCTTCCACATCAACATCCTTCAAATTCAAAAACTTTCTTGTTTCTCAATCATTAATGTTAATCATGGCCAAACCTGAAGCTCTCAATAGTGGCCACAAAACAACAAATTGTTCAAAGTAGACTCTTTTCACTAAATTAATGCTATGGATACCAATGATCCTGTTTCCGATATCATATCATACTAATCGGTAGTAGAGATTAAACCAGATACCAAACAGAGGGTTCCCTCTGTTCTCTCTGGAGAACAAACAGAGTACAAAAGAGTGGGGAAGCAAAACAAGGTTCCCTCTGTTCTCCGTAGTTATATAATTTGGGAGCCACCTCGCCTTAGCGGCCTCTGGCGGTAACGGAACTCCGCACAGCAACGCCGAAATTGAAGACTGGAACGGCGATCTGTGGGTTCCCGATGACGATTACGCGGCTGGCGGTGGGTGCGAAGAGATGGTTTCGAGGTCTAGGTCGCTATGCAGCTTCAGGGGAGACGTCGGCAGAGGAGGGTTTTTTGCAGGGTCGGAGGACGGTATCTATTCACGGGTGAGACTAAGAAGCTCTGTTTTGGGAGCCAGTAGCTCCATTCCGCGGGTTTCACGGCAGAGTATGGGATGGCGGGAGGAGATGGAAATGGCGAGTCGTTTCGGATGATAATAACTGACAGTGGGATTAAAAGGAGCCGGAAGAGCTTTAAGAGTTGGAGATGGATTTTCCGACAACACCATCACCACCATGATAGAGATGCTGGTATTTTTCTTGGACCTGGAAGAAAGGAAAAGGACGGCCGGCCGGCCGGCGTCAAAGATCCTCTTAGGCGCCTCTTCCGTAATTATAATTTCTTTTATTTATTTTTTTTAATTTATTGTAATAATGAGGTGGAAATTATAAGAAGATTAAATTTTATTTTTTTATATTTTTTTACTTGCCACGTCACATATTTAACGGTCAACTGTCAGAGTTGACTGCCACATCAGCAAAAGTTAACGGAGGTTAACGGAGAGTGACCAAATTTGAACTGCTGAACTAATTTTAGTGACCATGAATGGAATAAACTAATTTTAGTGGCAAACGTGAAATTTTTTAGTAATTCCAGTGACCAAACTTGCAATTTACCCTAAGAATCATGTAGAAAATCAAAATTTTACTCATACCTCATAGAGTTTCAGGTATCTATGGGTAATAATTTTTCTTCGTAATTTTATAAACAAGTTAAAGGTTACATGTATACTAGCATTATATAAGTGACAAGTATAACATAAATCACTAGCTAGAACAAAGAAAATAAGTTAAAGAGAAGACAATTTCATGAAAATATTATATATGTATAGTAAATATCGACCGTGAAAAAAAATCATTTCTGAATAAACTACATACACATATATGTATAATCGGGCATAGTCCGCGGATTCATATTGAGAAAACCATACCCACTTAGTATCCGTAATATTCAAATTTTGAGATTTTGCACATACACACCAAAAGTTCTTCTAGTTTACGTTTCACCCCACGGTTAGATTTGTGAATATGTTTTCCATCCCTACTCGTATCATAAGTGGTAAGACGTAAGTTTTGTAACCTTTTTTACCGACAGCTTAGATGATGGTTGGTTGAATATGTACATGCAGATGAATGATGGTTGCCAATGGAGGAAATACGGCCAAAAGATAGCCAAAGGGAACCCATGCCCTAGAGCTTACTACCGTTGCACCGTCGGACCCTCTTGCCCTGTCAGGAAGCAGGTACGTACCTATATACAACATTGTACATACATGTCTGAAATAAAAAAACATCCATGTATAGTGTTGACTACACTTATTTATATAACCTTAAACACTTGGTAATTATGGTATACATTCTAAACCGTCAATGGTGCCATTTATATACGATGATATACAGGTCCAAAGATGTGCCGACGACATGTCCATCCTCATCACAACCTACGAAGGAAACCACAACCACCCACTCCCGATGTCCGCCACAACCATGGCCTCCACCACCTCCGCCGCCGCCTCCATGCTCCTCTCCGGCTCCTCCTCCTCCTCATCCACCGCCGCCGTCCCCGGAAACCTCCACGGGCTCAACATGTACGTCTCCGACAACAACAACAACATGAACTCAATATCATCAAGACCACCCTTCTACTTCAGTAACAACAACAACAACAACTCCCCATATTCACCATCACCATCCTACCCTACAATAACCCTCGACCTCACCTCCACCAACAACAACAACATCTTGAACACGTCATCATCACCACCTCACTCCTCCTCGTCTCACTCAAACTACGCCAGATTCTCCTCCAGATTCGCCCCCGCCAGCAGCCTCAACTTCGGCGCCGCGTCAGAGCCCGCCACGTGGGGGTTGCATAACGGCGCTGGGATACTCAACTACGGCATCGGCAACGTGGGCCGTAGTGGTAATGCGGCCCATTACCGGATGTCCGGCCCAGCGGCGGGCCCAAGCAGCTCCTCTTCTCATCATAATCAGTCCATGTTGGCGGATAGCACGATGGTGGCCGCCGCGACCAAGGCGATCACCGCCGACCCTAGTTTCCAGTCGGCCCTCGCCGCAGCCCTCACTTCCATCATCGGTAAGAACAACAATAGTAGTGGTAAGGTCGTGACGTCATCGTCACGGGGAGGTGGAGATCAGCCGAGCTACTTGATGAACGTGAAAGCTAGTGGTGATGCGAATACGGCGCCGTCTTCGACGACGTCGCTGTCGAGAACGGGTTCGTTGTCTCATCACGGTCAGTCGGCGGCGGGGAGCGGCCTCGTGTTTCAGGCTCCTTCTTCTTCTTCGTCTTCATCTTCGCCGCATTCTTATTCTATGCCGGCGTTTACTGCGGCGGCGAGGGACGCCTCCACTTCTCCGAGTGAAGACAACTAAGTGAGTTGATCAGATCGATCAGATCGGTTTTTGGTTTAACCTGGTGCCAATTATGGTTTGTTAAGATAATTTTATTACATATGACTCTCCGTGATGTGGAGGTGATTCGAATTATTATTGCCTGCCTGCATTCAGTATATATGTATTATGTACTATGTAAATCGAGATTTCTTTCATCTCTCTATTTTCAGTTACCTTGCTCACTGAAGATCGAGAGGGGTAGGGTTTGATTTTCCAGTTCACTCTTAGTGTACCATGTAACTAAATCATGCATGCTGAAGTAGCAAAATTGATGAGTTATGCATCCACAATATAATTCTGCTCGTCATGAAGTATAAATTAACTCTTTGTAAGTTATAAATAAGGAGTGTGATATCACGTTACATAAGGTAATCTATCAAAATACGATAGAGGTTACAATGAAGGCCATGGACGAGATAAGACTACCGATTGATCTAAATTTATCAATGATTCAGTGGTTGGGTAGAGCAAACTAGAGAACAACCTAGCTAGCTAGCTATGAATGAGAGAATTGGAGATGCACTTGATATAACTCAAAGCTGGAAAATATTTTATCTATACTTGCCGTCAAAACTAGTGGAATCGGCGTTGCTTAGGCATGTCAAATGGGTCTTAGGGTATGAGTTTTACCCAAACCCAATTAAATTTGGGTCAAATCAGGTTTTGAGTTTTTCTGTTTTGGAGCAGACCCATACCCATCCAATTAAATTGGGTCCAAAATAGGCCCAGAAAATTAATTAAAAAAAAACAAAAAAAATCTTTACAGAACCCAAACGGGTCTCTTCATCTTCGACCTAATACCCTTAACGAGAGGATTGCTTCTCCACCATCGTATCCCGCCGCCGCCGCCCGCCTGCATTCGATTCTCGATCAGTGACCATCAGCCCCGAAGACGCAGCCGGCCTGTAATCCCGATTCTCGATCAGTGACCATCGGCCCCGACGCCGGCAGCTTCTCCTTTTCCCCACCATCGGACCCCGAGGCTGTGGAAGAAACCCACCTCTCGCACTTCTCGTGCTGCTCTCGATCTCCAGGTTTGCCCCATCTTCTTCTCTTCTAGATCTTGCCCCCTCTCTGTTTGCTCGGTTCTTCTTTTCCCCAATATCTCGCGCTCTAACATTTTGTATATTGGTTCTGGGTTTGCGTCGGTTCAGTCGGTTGACGGCGGGGTGTGTCGGCAATTGAATCTGGGTCGGCGACGGCAAGAGGAAGCTTCGCGGCACAATCTGGGTCGGTGTCGGCAATTGAATCTCGGCAATTACAGGTTTGACACTTGTCTCTCCTTGAGTTTAATGGTTAGCGACCCCAGGTTTATGTTGTTTAAGTCGTGGATTCCTAGTCTTGATGGGTTATTCTTCCGCAAATATTCTTTGTTGCTTGCTGCTATAGGGTCATAAAATCCCAGTTAACTCTGTTTGTTGGGATCCATCTGGCGAGTTTCTTGCATCTGTGAGTGACGACTTGGTACGAGTTTCTTGCATCTGTGAGAGAAAAAAAGAGTGAGTGAATGAAATGAATGAGAGGTGAATTTTTGCAAACAAGAGTGAGTGAAGTTAGTTGTTTGTTGGTTTGTGGTGGTGAAGGGTGAATGAGGGTATGGTTGGCAGCTGCTGCTGCCGCCTGTTGCCTCTTAATTAATCATCTTGTCATCATCATTCAATGACACTTCCTTTTTCCCCCTCTTCTTCTTCTTTTCTCGATTTTGGCATAATCCCAAAACCAAAACCACCATGTAGCTAGGAGTTGTAGCAGTCACCACCAAGCTGCAAAGAACTGTTTGGTTTTTCCCTTCTGTTGACAGAGTGAAGTAACAACTTATAATAAACAAATGACAACCGAACCATTTATTATTTCTTCAATTGAGTAAGATAGCAAGCATAAGTAGTATTGTTTGTCTTCTGTATAGATTGGTGTAATATCTCCGCCTGATCAGCCCAAATATCTTTGATGTGTCTTATGAAACTATAGACGATGAGAATACGGAAGATGCAGATTTTGATGAAGATGGGGAGGAGCATGACAATTGAAGCGGTGCCAAGAAGCATTCTGTTTTTGTGGTTTAGGTTTGTATGAATCAGGTGGTTCCTTAGATTGAGTTATGTGGTTTGGAATATGGTTTGGAGTATGAATCAGCTTTCCTTTGCTTTAAAACTTTGGCTTTTTGGTGTCCCAAATTTTAAGCTTCTATTCTCTGGAAAAATCATTGATGGTAATGCGCTTTTGTTGGGGATTGCAGCAGTTCAAAAAACTAGAACCAGACAACTATAAAAAGCAGGAGCAGAGGCTAAAGAAGGGAATTTTGGGGAGGCCTAGAGATGAGGGATTTTAGCAAGGGGACCTCTTTGGATCGCACTTGGTAAAAGACATGAATGGAGGTGGTAAGTAAAGGAGGAAGGGGGGTTATTCAATCTCTGTTTTGAACCCTCAGTTGTTGCAGCAACCCTCAGTTTCCATTTTGGGTGTCTGAGCTCTTTAAGACCATGCTGTGCTGTGTTTGAACTTTGAAAATTGGAGGGTAAGTAAATGTAACTGAGGGGTAGTATCATATTCAGCATTCACCCTAGTGTTAGATAGACAAACTTTTAAGATAGGCCATGAATTGTTGTGGTTTGCAGGACGCTTTGTATTTAACAATTAGCTCTAATCGAAAGAAAATTATACAGATTTGCATAAATTATCGGGTTCACCAAAATCTAATAAGCAGGACTTTCAACTAACCAAAATCTAACTTATACCCAAATGGACCCATTTGGGTCGGCCCAAATATACAGGTCAATTCTGGACCCAATCTAAACTCAACCCAACCCAAAAAAAAAAAAATTTGGGTCCAAACCCAATACCCATATGGGTCAAGGTATTTGGGTCAAAAAACCCAATAGGCCTACCCATTGACAAGCCCGTTGCTCATGGACTGCTTCAAGATTGATGGGCAAATTATTGAATAGGCATATGGACAAAAGAGATTTTTTCCAATTGAGATTTCGTCTATAGTATAATAAATTAATTTAATGTTAATTTATGATCAAATAATAAATTGTGATATAATGACATAATACGTTGTACTGGATGTTGTATTCCATCCTTTAAACATATATGGACTATTTTTGTTATCCCAAAATTTACTCCATGTCCCGGAACAATGCCCAATAGGGCTGCCTCAGCCTACGCCAATATATATATAGTTTGTGCATATTATTGATTGACGAAAGACCATGCATATATATGCATTGTGAATATATAGTAGGAAGACTCATCCTTGACTTTCTTCAACACACAGGCCTCAATATCTAAATGTATTACTACTCCTGGAAGTCTGAAAGGTGTGCACTTAATATTATATAATCGTTTTATCTGATTATAGCATAAGATGGGGATGTAGCTCAAATGGTAGAGCGCCCGCTTTGCATGCGGGAGGTACAGGGTTCGATCCCCTGCATCTCCATATTTTTGCTCCAAACAAATTGCTAGCTACTTTTTTCCAGCAACTCGCTCAGCAAGTCCCAGAAGATAGAATAGAGCACAGATCATCAGCACCTTTCCAAATCCGAAAGACTATCTCCCCAGGCCCAATTTCATGTTCATCAAAGTCATTCTAGTCAAAAGTCATTCTTGATGAACAAGGTGAAGCTGGCTACCTAAGTGATAGGTTATATGATTCACTGAGACTGAGCTACAGGTTTTATGTTTGTTCCATGGTGCAGAATTGTCGGGAGCAAATATCAACAGGACAGAAATGATACCCAAATCGACGGGAGAAAAGCATAGGAAAACCCAAGCAATCTCCACTCCACCATAGAAGAACAAACGAAAAGAATTCCCAATACAAACTTTCGAGCGAAAATAACCAACAGAAAAGACAATTTTCTTTCCTCACACACCCAAACTTGAAGCAACTCAAGGATAAAAAAAAGTATTTGATCTCCTTTCTATACAAAGGAAAAGCCCCCACTACTATAAAACACTGAAGACAAATCCATCATCGGACTGCAGGAATTCAACCAACGAATGTAGTAATTATGAAGCTTCAAATTACTCATAGCTCTCTTCCTTAAGCGACTTCGGTCGTACCTACTTCCTCCATTGGTGTTTCATCCTATACAGGGACAAGGACAAACGAGGAATTAGATTTCTGCATAACACACAACACATATGGAACCACAGTCCACAGATGAATGGGATTAGGCTTTACCATGTTTTCTTTGTTCTCCTCGGATCTACAGTCAGTAGCATCTGCAGCAGAGCTGAGTTGTGCTACACCTGTAGATCGAAATCACACTAACCCTATGTTAGCCGCGTACAATCAAGACAGGGAAAGGAAATCAATTAGCAATTAGCATGGACACTTGCCTTCTCCAGATGAAGGCTTATTTCCTGGTTTCTTCTTGACCTGATCCTTCCCCTTCTTACCAGCTGCTTCTTGCTTGACTGGCTTCTGGATTTTCTTCTGCAACTTACCAGCTCCAGCCTCTGAGACCGACTTGGAATTCACGGTAGTCTTGTTTGAAAGTGAAGAAGATATTCTACTCTTGGCGGTAGCAGCAGCAGGAGTAGTAGTCTTCTTGGTGGCCTCTTTCTTGACTGATGGAGCACCAGCATTTAAGGACCTCGGTCTCAGTTTCATGGTTCCTGCTGTAGAAGAGGAACTATGGAATTCTTCATCAGATGATGATCTTGTTCCCTCTTCTGGTGCTTGAGAGTAGTTCTCAGAGACTGAGATTTGCACCTGCTGCTGCTCTTGAACTTGATTCTCAGAGATATTGTACTTCTCAAACAGTTCCTTGGACTCTTCAAGCTCACCAAGCTCAAATCGCCGCACATAAGACTTGAGCTCATCACGCATCTTTTGAAGAGGCTGGAATTTTAAGGCATAATAAAAGGGCCAATAGACGGTTCAACACCTATTCTTAGCAATTACAAGTGAAAGGGACATTAAGGAATCATGTGGGCATGTAACATTATTACCTCACATCCAGCTTCGAGGGCGAGTTTGAAGAAACCCAGAGAAACCAAGTGCTTGGCTGAAGATTCAGAGAGCTTGATCTGTGCCAACCAGTACGAAGCCGAGGACAGCCTGTTGAAGGTCCGTGGAACGGAAGCCCTCGAGGCATCAGAAGGAGGTGTTTCCATCTTTCCTTGGCTGATGGCATTCCTCTTGCTTCTGGTCTCAGATATTGCTGGTATGTTTCCGCCATGCCTAGGGTATGGAGTACCTACGACGGGCTTGGTAGGGTTGGACAGTCTTCTGGGGGGTTTGGCTGATGATTTGCCCTTTGCAGAAAGATCCAGCACCCCTACGCTTTTACTCACACTCGATGCCTGCCTTCCCCTGCGCGAACGACAACACCCAGCCAAACACTACCGTTTCATTCTGATAATGAGGACTCTTTGTTTCAAATCAAAAGTTGGAAGTGGAAATAGCCAAATAGGTAAAAGGAGAGTCCGACTGTTCTCTAAGGACTTTCTACAAACACATGGCGGATCTATCAGTAGGCCTAGTTGATAAATTCAGGACGCAGTCAATCCATCTTCTCGAGTATGATCAAACAAACAAATGGCCATTACAGGCCGGTTCGTCGACTGTAAACGGTAATAGAAAAAAGAGCAGTTACCTCCTCGACGAAGCAGAGGCGGTGGAATCGGCAACTGTCGGCGGTTTCTCCTCCTTGGACTTCACCGCGGATCTTAGAGGATATCGCAGCTTCGTTCTCCCGATCGAACCCCCTGCAAAAAGGGAGAAAAGAATAAACGAACACACCAACATCGTAAACAAAGTCAACTACAAATCGAAGAGACCATGACACAAAGGGATTGACGGAAATGGATTCGTACCAGAAGAAGCGGAAGCGGCGACGGCGGCGACGGAAGCCGGCTGCTGATTCTGCTCGGTGACTGCGGTGGCTTCCATTTTCCTTTCGCGATCGAGGGTGGTGGCAGAATTGGGAATCAGAGTTCACAGTAAAGCAGTACAACTAACAGCCTGTGTTGGAGAAGGAAAGGGCAATAGAGAAAAGAAGGCTTATAATGGGACGCTCCCTAAGACCCCACCGATTCCAGCGATTCGTTTAGGCGGGAAAAGTTTTCAAACCCATCTTTCTCTCGTTCCCTAATTAATTTTTCCGTTTCCAGCTCACCCTGTGCAGTTTAGATTGTGACACGTGGACTACCTGTGAAATCCAGCCGTCCGTTAGAATGTTCCCCTATGGACAACGGTCTTGCTAAAAAGTTTTTGAAACGGCAGAATGACAAAGTAGAAAACAATTGAGCCTTTAAGTTAATTGAATAAATTGGGCCCTTAAGTGTGCATTAGCAGTATCATTATTATTATTGTTAAGAATTGAAGCTGCCCAACGATGAGGAATTATGTTTTGAGAACATATAAGTGAGCAAGTTAATAATGTTAATATATAATTGGTCACTTGCGTTAGCACAGTTTTGGGTTATGGAGTAAACAATTGTTTTTTCATTTTCTTGATTGAATTAATGCGGCCTTATAAGTTATATTGGACTTTTAAAAATGAGATGGACTAATAATCTATAATCAACCCATAAAACCAGCAAGGTGGCGTTTGTTGAAATTTGAATTTCAAAATCCCTTTATTGTATAGTTGGTGTCTGGTGGTCTGAGAGCCGTTGAACTTGGATGGGAACTGGCGAACTGCCTTTTCAACGGCTGGAGATGAGGATATGCCTTTTTGGTGGGGACTTGTTGTTTGGTGTACCCGTACCAAGGTTGTCAACCCGCGAGTTGACCCGCGGGTCGACCCACTTTAACCCTGACCTGGTGAGAAAAACGGGCCGCACGCACCCGTCAGACCGACCGCTAAAAGGTACCGGGTTGGATGTCAAATTGTGTCATTTTTTCTTTGGTTTACGAAATGCGCCTATTTTCCGAATTTTTCTTTTCGCCTAGCTCAATTTTTGGAATGCTAAGTTGAACATTTGAATATTTATGTTATATAAGTGTGTGTGAATTTTCACTATACGTTGGATCTATATATGATATGTTATTTTGGTGTAATATTATATGTTATAACTCATGTGTTAGATAAGATTTGATATAATTTATGAGGATAAGTACAATATAATGACTTTTTCTATATTTTCGGGCCAAACCGGGCTAAAACGGTTGACCCATTAACCCTTGACCCACTAGGTCGACCGGTTCCGAGTCAACCTGCGGGTTGACAACCTTGACCCGTACGAATAAATTGTCTTTACCTTGGCGCGGACTGTTGGTGGATAATTGTCCATCAAGTCATGGGCCTCTTTATGGGCCTCCAACAAAAATTTCCGGGCTAGCTGCTCAGTCGTGTTCTCTTTCAACTGGGCTTATCCAATTCAATTTTAAAATTTTATTTTAAGCCTAAGATTGTTTCAACACTTCAATTATAAAAAAAAATCTCGTTTTTATTTTTGATTATTCAATATGAAAATTTTAGCGTGAAATATTTATTGCGATTGGTGTTGAATGTTGATCACTGTTAACCGTTAGTCCTTAATGAATGGACAAGTCATTGTTGACTCTTAGGCATGCGAAATTATTTTTTTTATTATTATTTTTTTACACGTCACTAACCCAAAACTCATAAAAATTTAATCAAAACAATGAAAATACTTTCACCTTGTTTTCGAAGGAAGGAAGGAAAATGTGGGAGGGAAATTTTGGAGGAGAGGAAAACTGCGAAAGAAAAATATTATTTTACGGGATAGAGAAAAAGTAGATTAGGAAATGTGAAATATATGTTATTTTATTGATTATGTAATAGTAAAATAATAAAAATATTTGCATTTTAGTTCATCTTGCTAAATCTCCTCTGTCGAAACTTGGATAGGAATGGCGGCAGACTGGTTTGCAGAGATAAAAAAATCCTCCATCGAAGCTTCATCTTGCTCAAGCTTATCCTCCGAAATCCTAGTGCTAGATTTGGGTTCTTCTTCCTCCTCGTGGTTTTGGGTTCTTGTTCTTCTTTCGTTGTGTGTATTTCGATTCATTAACTGAATTTCATCAATGGTCATCTTTGGGTTTCTGGTTGTTGTTGTGTTTTGTTTATTATAATTTCCCATTACATGTTTGGGGTTGCTTTTTATTGGTTTTGGAGTTATGGTTTCAATTTGTGCAAGCCGTTGTTCGTTGATTTTTGCTTCTACACAATACATAAAGGCAAAACATGGGTTTGAATTCTCCTATTTCAAATTTCGTGGTTTTAGAGTGATTCTAGGAAGGTCATTTTTGTCATTGCACTCAACTCATGTTTATCTATTAAAAATATTATCATTGGAGTTTGAACCTTGGTCACTTGAATGAAGAAAGAGTATTATAACCAACTAGGCTACATTTTATTCATTGTTATTTTTTTTATTCAACTCTAGCAATATGTTTGGTGATGATGCTTCTATATTCATATTTTATCTTAACGTATTTATATTTTATAGAAAGATATTAGTTCTGAAATCGGAACTCAAGTAGTATTGATTCAAACATTAAAATTAAATTGTATGTGTTGTTTAGTTTAGGAAAAATACATAAGTGTAACCAAAACATGGACTTTTGTGACGAGTATAATCATTTTTATGACAAATCTACACATAATATAATGATAAAATTGGAAAATGAGAGTCTCATTTCAAATTTCATGGCTGGAGAGTGATTCTAGGAAGCTCTTTTTCGTCATAGTGCTCAATTTATCTTTATATTTGTGTAGATTTGTGACAAAAAAATTATTATATTTGTCACAAAGATCCATGTTTTGGCTACACATATGTATTTTGTCTAAACTAAACCACACAAACAATTTATTATTTAATATTTGAATCAATGTTACTTGATATCCGATTTCACAATTAATCACTTTCTATAAGAAATAATAATTTTAGGTAAAATACCCTTCCTACTTGGTTGAAGAAGCTCTTTCTATGAGATATATTCAATATTTTAAGATTTGCTATTTCAAATTCCGTGAAGCGAGAGTGAAAGTAGGAAGAGTATTTTTGTCATCACAATTATTATCTACTTCATATGAAAAAGTATCAATATCAAGATTTAAATCATAATCTCTTAAAACAAAACAAAAAATAATCACAACCAATTACACTAAATAAATTTGTTTTATCTTCATTAAATTGTAAACATGGACTAAACGAAGATTTGAAAATCAGAGGACTGTTCACAGTTAGCTAGCATATTAAATCTTCTAAAAAGCAAATTTTAATACGTGATTTATAATTTTTATAACCTATAAAATGACGGGTAATTTTAAAATTGCAACACAAATTTCATTGCTTAAAATATTGCATATCGAACTGCAGTATTGAATATGCAAAAGCGATGTAGAATTCTGTAAATTAATATGAAATTTCAAAACTAATACGAAACAATAACATTTTGTAAAAACCAAGGTTCTAAAAGGCGCTAGGCGTAAGGCAGGCGCTCGGCTCCTGACTTGCGCCTTGCCTGATTAGGCGTAGCCTAGGCGCGCCTAGGCGTTCAGAGCATAAATGGAAAAAGTTCTCAAATATTTCCTGTTTTCTGGAATAATTCATATAATCCAAGTGCATATAAAATTAGCAATGCCTAGTTCTTAACAGTAAACACTTAACATAACAAATAACAAGCAAATAGTGACCACTTCCTAGAATCACAAGTTCATAAAATGTCGAAATACTAAACAATAGTCAATAAGTTCATAGGAAAATGTTCATTCTTCATCATCCAAGTAGGTCCGTCCAGCCACCACTTCATCTTCATCATCCTCAAAAGCAATCTCCTCACCATCCTCCTCCTCTTCCTCATCTTCAGACTCTAATTCTTCATCATGGAGCTCTCTCACTCGTGCACTCCTGTGAAGCTCACTCTGTTCACCCGCCATTGCATCTGTAACAGTACTCGAGGGTGCACAATATGATTCCTCATCCTCATCTACGAATACATACATAGCATGGTCATTCCCTTCTCGTTTTTCTGATTTTCTAGGGCAAGAGGCAATTTTCTGATTTTCTAGGACAAAACGAAGAGTATTGGGTTTAACCGCCTAAGCTCGCCCAGGAACGCCCAGGCACGCCTTCTCTCCACTAGGCGCAAACTAAGCGCTATTCCTACCTACTAAGCGCTGCCAGCGCCTTTTACAACGCCTTTGGCCAAGTCAAGGCGATCCTCCACCGCCTAGCGCCTAATTGAGCCTAGGCGCGCCTTCTTGAACCCTGGTAAAAACTATAGTTGACTGGTTCGCTAAAATTTTAGCCTGGTTAATTGCTAAACGTTAAACTCTTGCTAATCGGGCATGAATGGACCCGACAATAATGAGATGATATCGAGTTTAATGTGATGTTCATTTCGTCAGTTTTGGATCGGATGCGTTGATCAATTTATAGGGCATTGACATATAAGTGAGTTATAATTAACCTCATTATACAATTTTTACTCTTTATAATAATAAATTTAATCTTAATATTTATGATGTTTGACATATTTTATGTACGATTTAGAGGTATAATTATTATTTGTGACATCAGTAGTAGTTTACTCAAATGTAGTATTTCATCAGGTAGTCAAAATCGAATACTCGGTGCATTTGTGACTGTTTTTACCTTGGTGTTGTGAATAGGTAGAAACTTAATTATTATAATACATATAACTATACCTAGGCACATGATCGAGCTAGCACGACACAGTTAGAGCATACCATGAAGATAATGTATATGAATCGACCATGTACAAGCATGAATGTTTCATGGGTCGTACCGGACTTAAACTTCAAGAGCTCGCGCACAAGTGCGAGCACCACAGTCTATATTGGTGAACTCATGTTTTATGGAGAAATGCGACATTTGATAAAAATAAACAAAATATTCTAAAAATAACATATAAAATTTGAATTAATGAGTAGTTTCTCACATCAATGTGTGACGACTCATATTCTAAACGGTTTATAAAATACATTCATTCTTTATTTTGAGACTATTTTTTTCAATGTATAC